TTTGTTTGTTAATTGTTGGCAGAAATAAATGTAAATAAATACTACATAATTAAAATAATTAAAATTTTAATTCTTTTTTTTTTGTTAAAGAGACTCAAGCAGTATCTAACCGTTGAGTATGGCCTTATATAACAAAGTTTACGTAAGCGAGGTGTTATTTAAATGTTTTACAAAAGATTTTAACTTTTAGATAATCAGAAAAAAGATAATCAGAAAAAAGATAAACCAGCAATACGCAAATACAAGACCGAGTCATTTTGTTATACTTGCAAACTTTTGATAAAACTCGTATTTACAATCTGGAAGGAAATTCACTATTGGATAGTCCAACCCCGTCATTATATAAACTTCGACTAGTAGACAAAAACAACTCATATTTGATAATATTTTATTTATTAGTGTTACAGTAAAAATTCTATCAATTAAGAATATCAAAATTATGATATTTTATTAATTTATAGATTTATTAATTTCCTCCTACTAGTATCACAATTATTATTTTTCCTTGGATCTATAGATTTATGGGAAATTGCATCCTATATCATACAAAAAAGTTATAATTCATTTTTTTTTTGACATCAAACGGCTGATTTATTACTCAAACAACTTGAGGTGGTCTGGGTAACCAGACCGGAATAAAACAACCAACGTACATAAGCTTACGATAAAAAGACCTAGCTACCTTAGCTAGAGAATCAGAAGCGCCGTTCTGAGATCTAGGAACATAAATAATCTTGAATTCATGAAATCAGATCTTCAGTGTCATCATTTTTTCCAGTTCTTTTGAGAAATTGGGCCATGCATGAGGATTTCTGAGCATCTCGATCATCTCCTTGCAATCAGTTCCAAAGCTCTGACATGGCGAATGTTGAAGCATGTTCTCCATTGCCCATCGCAATGCTTCCAACTCTAAATGCAGCGCCAATTCCACTCGATCAAAGTTTTGCATCCCCATTAACTGTCTATTCCCGAATTATCGTTCAAAACTCATCCACATCCACTGAAAGTATCCGTAGAAGTCCAAGATCCATCCACCATGCATATGTTGCCCAAACTTAAGGTCTATTCTTCAACTATTCCGTTCTCAAGGGAGACCGGAGTATCCTGCTCATTTGCTTGGAACCATGCTTGGCATTCACTCTCTGCATAGCGCGCTATCTCCAATGGATTCCTATCGATGCCTCTGAACAGCTAATCATTCCTAGCCTTCCAAATGTACCAGATTAGCCAAGGATAAGGATCCCTGTCCAATTCTGGCTCCATAATCGTATTCTTCCTTCAGAATAGATAGTCCATATTCGCATACATACTGTGTACTGGAAACAAAGCAGGATTGGTAGGCGTAGATGATAGTGCCCATACTTGTAAGGCAGGTGGACATTCGAATATTGCATATTGATCGTTTCCTCAGGTTCCCCACAACGAGGGCAGTGGTTGTCACATCGCATGTGTCTATGATTTAAGATGCTCGTAACAGCTACATGACCTGTTATCAATTGCCACATAAGATGGCAAATCTTTTGGGGAGCCCTGACATTCCACGCACGTGCTTGGAGTTTTGTGATAGCTCACATACTACAGATTCATCTTCCTTCCTTAAGATATTCCGTGCTACCCAGTATCCAGATTTAACTGTATACTGTCCAGTCCTCGTATAGCTCCAGCAGTACGTATCTCGTCGGTGCGTTGCGCTAATGGCCAAACTCTTAATGAGAGATATATCAGCTGCATCAATATAATTCTGAAGTCGGCTATCATCCCAAGTCTTTGTTGTTTGATTAATAAAACCACTCACTCTCATGTTCGGATGCAGAACTGGTGCCAATGGGGTTGCTGGTCTCGAAGGTATAGTAGGAATCCAAGGATCTTCCCAAGCTTTAACTTCATAACCCGAATGGACTTTTTGTCTAATTCCTAATAACAACACTTCTCTTCCGGCCGATATGCTTGTCCACACATATGATGGGCTACTAGCATTGATTTGGCGCAAATTCGTACTTAATCTGTAATATCGGCCACGCATAACGTGAGCTACCAGAGAATCCGGATTCTGTACCAGTCTCCATAGTTGTTTTGCTAGTAACGCAAGATTAAACTCATGGATCATCCAAAAACCAATTCCGCCTTCTTCCCTGGGTAGACATAATTTGTCCCAAGTTGACCAGTGAATACCCCTTTTAGGTGGATTTGAGCTCCACCAAAACTGTGCAATGGCACTAGCTAAATTCTCACAAATCTCCAATGGAAGAAGGAAACAAGACATTACATACGTCGGGAGAGCAAGCGGGATCAATTTTATCAACTTCTTTCCCGCCTTTAGAAAGCAATCTGCCAGTCCATCCATTCACTCTACCTCTCAGCTTATCTTTAAGGAATGCAAAGAGCTTACATTTGGACCCACTGATATCCTCTGGTATACCTAAATATGATCCCATTCCTCCTTCATTTTGGATCCCAAGAGTGTCTTTGATCTCTTGTCTCACGTCCTGTCCAATTCTTTTACCAAAGAGTAAAGAGGACTTATCAAAATTAATGCATTGTCTAGAAGCTTATCCATATAACCTGACCAGTTTCATTACTTCTTCACATTCACGGGTCTCCGCCTTAAAGAAAAACAGACTATCATCAGCAAAGAGAAGATGAGATACCGGAGGACACGCACGCGTGATGCGCATCCCCGTTATCTTTCCTTGATTCTCTGCGTGATTTAGTAGGCTAACGAGCGCTTCCGTGCACAGAATAAAAATGAAAGGGGACAGAGGATCCCCCTGTCGTAGACCTCTCTCCGGGACAATATTCCCTCTTGACAGTCCATTGATGAGTACCTCGTACTTTACTGATGTTACGCATCGCATTATCATAGATATCCAAACTTCAGAAAATCCCATATTTCTCATGGTGGCCTCAATGAAGGACCATTCCATCCTATTGTATGCCTTACTCATATCTGTCTTAATAGCCATCCTCTTGTTTCGGCCACTCGGTTTTGTTCGTAATGCGTGGAACAGCTCCTGAGCTATCATGATGGTATCAGATATCTGTCTCCCAGCAACAAAGGCTGACTGGGTCTCTGATATCCTGGCTGGTAGGAACTTTTTTAATCTCTGGCATAAGACCTTAGAGATAATCTTTTAACTAACATTGCATAAGCTAATAGGGCGTAACTGACTCATCTGATTAGGCTTATCCACTTTTGGAATTAGACATATGTTGGTATCATTTAGTTCTGATGGCACCGTTCCCTCAAAAAGAAATTGATTAACCATAAGAGTTAAATCATCCTTTACAATATCCCAGAATTTCTGGTAGAACAACGCAATCATTCCAGTTGGTCCTGGCGCCTTCTCTGGGTGCATCGCGAAAAGAGCCAATTTGACCTCCTATTCAGTGACCGGAGCTGTTAAAGTCTCATTATATGTTAAGGTAATTGTAGTTGATACATCAGAAAGAGCCTCCTCTATTGCCTCAGGATTTGATGATTGGAAGATGTGTCTGAAGTAGTTTGTAGCAATGGCTACCAATCCTTCCTCATCCTCCACCACATTTCCAGCCTCATCTAGTAGTTGGGTGATCTTATTCCTTGCTCTCCTTTGCTTCGTAAGGGCGTGAAAAATTTTAGTATTCCTATCCCCTTCTCTCAGCCAGAAAATCATGTACTTCTGCTTCCAGAACATCTCATCCGCCTTAAGAGCGTCAGATAGTTCCTTAATAGCTGTCGCAATCTCCTCAGTGGTGGTATCATCATTTGAAGATAAGCGATCGACATTTTCCTTGAGCTCCTCTACTGTTCTCTCTGAGTTCAGATTATGCTGCTTCTTCCATTCGCTTAATGCTCGACGGTAGCTTACATTATGTTCCATTATACTTGCGTCAGGTGGGAGGTCCGGTGACTTCCATCCCTCATGTATAATTTTCCTGAGCTCATCGTTATCCAACCATCTCTTATCAAATTTGAAATTTCTTGATCTCCTAGGTTTCTTTTTTAGAATATCAACCAGTATCGGACGATGATCCGATCCCCAGAGTCTCATGTACTTCACTTTGGAATGAGGGAATCTCTCATGCCAGTCCTCATTCCCAACAGCCCTATCAAGACGACATCTAACTGTTGTCCTCCCCGCTCTATTTCCAACCCAAGATAGCATGTTTCCTGTGAAAGGAAGCTCCAGCATACCACAATCACTTAGCATTTTCCTAAAGGGCAGAAAAGAACTATCAGGGTGTTGCCTGCCTCCTTCTTTCTCTGCATGACAAGTAATTTCATTAAAATCGCCTATCATGAACCAAGGTCTAGTTCTTGTTGTTGAGAATCGCGTAAGACATTCCCAAACTAAATCTCTTCATTCTAGTATAGGATCCCCATAAACAAATGTCATGTAGACTTTTATTCCATCAATGACTGCCTCAGTGTCAATCATACGGTTATTTGAAAAAAAAACATTAACTTGAAATTCATCCATAAAAAATAAAGCTAAACCACCGCTGAGACCAAGTGGCTCAACGGTAAACAAACGATCAAATCCTAAGTCAGCCTGAATGTCTTGCAACAGCAGCCTCTTATTCTTCGTCTCAGAAAGAAACACTAATCCTGGGCGATGTTTCTGACACATCTCTGTAAGGCATCGAACTGTAAGGTCGCTTTAAATCCCTCGACAGTTCCAACTGATTGTCTTCATGGATGATACTTGGATGGGTTTTTGGATCCCATCGAACCATCGCCATTGTGTGATCTCCCTTGAATCTTCTTAGTACTATGTCGTGAGTGCCCAGCCTTATCCTTATGACATGATGCCTTATGTGCCGAGGTCTTGGCGACTCGCAATCTAGGAGAATCTCGACGGAGGAGTCCCGACTTTGTTCTTAGATTACTCGAGGAAGTAATCGATCGGCCTGACTGTCGCCTACTCCCTGTTTTATTCTTCGTGCCAACTTCTACACCAATACTCTTCTCTACACTCAGCTCCATAAACTCCTCACCCAATAGATCATCATCAGCATCATCATATTACCATCCCCATTGCCGCGGTTGTTTCACTTTTTTCCATCTCAGCCAAGGCACCAATGACTTGCTCCTCCTCACATACTGACTCGTCATTCGCAAAAGACAGGGAGCGAGTAACACTCTTACTACGGATTGTTACATTAGACTCCATTGTTGCCGTTCTCAAGGGTGGTGAGACAATGACACTAGCTATCTTCTTATTTTGAGAACCTGATCCAACCATATCAACTCTGACTCCAGTATTAACCTCATCAACAACTTGAATCTCTGTTGAAGTAGCAGGCGCTAGTTCAGAAGAACCCACGCCACCAACTTTGTCGAGTATCTCGTTTGGTTTCTCTATCTGCCTCTCCAGGATTCTTGACTTTAACGCAGGTTTTTCACCATGTTTTGTTCGACTCTCGGTCATACGGACCAAAAGCTCGTCGGGAACCAAAATGTCGATCATCATGATACTTTCCACTCCTTCCCCTTATGACGCGGTCTGAGCTTTTGTTGTATCCACGTTCTTCCATACGCAAATGAGCAGAGCCCGAATTGGAATTCCTCCCAGCAATCACAGTACCTTGATCTCACGAAGTAGTGGATGAACGAGATGATTTATGAGCATCACGTCCTGCGCGCTCAATGCGTTGGTCAAAGCCAGTATCTCTATTCCGCGAGGCCTGATCACGTGGCGGAGGTTGTGCAACATGACGTCCAGTACGGTCCTTATGGTAATCGTAGCTTTTACCTCTAGTCAGCAAAGGCTGAACTTGGGTTGGAGGAAGTTGAACACGCGCAAAGACGCCACTCTGTTCCTGATCAAATCTCGGTGTTGCAGTGTTGGTTGGACAATATCCCTTTTCATGTGACATTAAACCACATGTGGTGCAGTGTTTAAAGAGCATATCATACTCAATAGGGATGGTTACTTCCTCATCTTCAGGACTAAGGACCTTCCTCTTAAACTTAAGAGGTTTCCTAGAGTCAACATGAATAAGCATTCGCCCCTCTGTGAGCTCAATCGTATTGACGTATCCAAGTCGCCCTCCAATATCTCTGAGATTACGGTCAGTCCATAAATGTAGGGGCATCCCAATAAGGCGGGGCATCCCAATAAGGCGGACCCAGAAAGGTATAATCCAGGGGTAGTCATCATGTACTATTGGTTCCCATCGCACCAATACAAACATGCAAAAATTGAAGTGGAAAGGACCCTTTGAAAGAACAAAGTTGAGATCCTCTTCATTAGCAAAGTTCAAAAGAAACTTGCCATTTCCGAGATCGTTTGCTGTAATCTTCTCTTCCATGCCCCATTGAGCCGGAATTGTCTGGATTAGCTTCTCAACAGTTTGTTTTTTGTGGTTCAGGATCTTTCCAATGAGAGACATCCGGTACTCTTTAATCACAAAGGCGTTGTCTTGTTCATTCAACTTGATAGGTTCATCATCATCGTCAATAGCAATGCCCTTTCCTTTACGATCTATCATATGAATAGAGCTTGTACGGGTCGGGTATTCCATGACGAAGTATCGAAGAAATACAGTTGTTTCCGAGAAGGATCGTAAACGTTGTTCCCAAGCAAACGTATGCTTCGTACTACCCCAAACCAAACGGAGTGATTGGAAGATCAATGAAAGGGTCAGATCAGAATAGCAGAATGTCAGGTCTCGGATCCCAACAGAGGACAAGGATCACTCTGTATCACAAAGGCTCAAGGGATAGGATCAGATGGTTATCGGTTCCGTGGATCGCAGGCCTGTGTTGAGTAAGAGAGTGCAGGGGATAGAGAGTGCAGGGGAATAAAAGAGAGATCAGGCGTGGGACTTGCAGAGGACTCAGAAGGCGCCGGTGGTGATGATGTAATATAGAAGGATATCAAATCAGGGGTGGGGATTGCGAGCCCATAGAGGATCACAACCCGGAGATCTCCATGTCGCCGCAGGAATCGCCACTAGGGTTTGCAGAGCCGCCTTTTTAAAAAAAAAATTTAAAAAATTATAATCCATTATCTAACCAATTAACCTAGTTTACATAGATATAACATGTATTTTATATAATAATACACTAATACCCTTGTAAGTCACCGATGAAACCTGCTACCAAACTAATTTCAAAATAAATAATACGTGAATGTAAAAACTAATTCGTGGATCTTTATTGTACACACATTCTAAAGCTATTTTTATTTGATAATTTTTGGAAAAGTGAATATGTTTCATCTCAGATTTGCAAGATCCCTCAACATCACCGTCTACATACCCAGTGAAGTACAATAGAGGAGAAAACCATTTTTGAAGACTACAGCATTAAGGAAGGGGGAAGCTTCTCAGATTTTGAAATAAACAGTCCAAAGGAAGACGAAACAAGAGAGGCGGCGAGGTGGATTAACGCTTGCAGATTCAAGTTCCCAAAACCGTTTTGCATAAGAAAATTTTAATCATGTAAGTTGCGGTTGTTCTGTTATTGTTTCGTAATATGAAGTAATTCTTTGTTGGAGTCAGTATGTGGAAATGTTGTGACCCAAAAATTTGAAGCTTTGGTTTGGACTCCACTCCATTGTACATTCTATTCCATTTTCAAAATATTTGTTACCTGAATACAAATAGAATAGTTTTAAAAATCTGAATCTGAAGTATTTTTTGTTTCTTTCATTTTATGATATTTTCAAGTCATATGTGGTACCGGTGTAACATGGAATAAATGTGAATAGTCAGTTTGTTCGTATGTTGTTGCTTTGTGTATGATCCAGTGAGCTGAATAGGATACCAACCAACAAAATTAAATACAATAGTTTGTTGGTTTCCATTCTCATTTTTGTTCGTATTGTTGTTGTTTGTCTATGCATACTGTTACATATTTTATGGTTTCCATTCTACATTTTGTTATACTATACATTTTATTTCACATTTACTCTGTTTTTGCTTTTATTTCTATACTATGATTTTTGTTTTTATTTTTATATTGTGTTTTGTTTCTATTTTTATACTCTGTTTCTGTTTTTTACTCTTCTTTTTTTTTTGTTTTAATGATCTAATGGTGAAGAATAACGACGACGGACCGGTAGAAGCGTCGTTGTGTTGGAAAAAAAAAAGAGGAGACAAAGATGATCTTTATATGGTGGTGAAGAATAACGATGGTGAACGAAGTGAAGTTGTATCAGCACGTTTGAAAAAAAAAAGGAATTGAAGAGGATGAACCGCCATCTATACTATATTCGGTGAACAAAATAATATAGTATATATTCTTTAGTGTAGCTATTTATATAAGATTACCATACTCTTTGGTACATATTTCTATACTATTTCTTAAAAATGTAATAATCTGGTGACTGTCAATATTTCTCAGCAAGGGGAAATTTTTTATATCTAGGATGTGGATTGACATTTCCAGGTTAGAATATAGTTTTATCATTTAGGTTGAGTTTAACTCACCCTTGTTACTATGTTACTTGTATTAGTGATATGATCCTATCTATGTCGTAATGTCAGTTTATTCTATTCAATAATATAATAGTACAACATCCATATAACCTTGCCACTCAAGGCCCCTGAATTACTGAAAGAGAACACTCTAAAAGTAGTATATAATATCCACCATGCAGTATAGTGTTATGAACGTGGTGAATGTCATTATTTGAAAACGGGGGAAACTGTTTATATCTCGGATGTGGATTGACATTTCCGGGTTACGGTTTAGTGTTATCATCTGGGTGGGGATTTCACTAACTCACCCTCATTGCTCCGTTACTTGTATTAATGATATCATCGTTCTATTTGACGATTAGTAAGAAGTGTTCTATTTTTTAACTAATATGTACTATACTATGTATTTTGTTTCATTCTATTTGGGTTAGGGTTTATGCTTGGATTTAGGATTTAGTGATTAAGATTTAGGGTTTAGTATTTGAAAGGTGAGGTTTGGGTTTAGTGTTAGCAGTTTAGGGTTTCGTATTCAAAATAAAGATTGAGGGGTATATCTAGTATTTAGAGGTTTATATGTGGAGTTTTAATTCTATACTGCATTGACGATATGGAATGGAACATCGAGTGTATACTATATGTTTATCAACACTAATATAAGTTTCATACTATTTAACACTAACATAAATTTTCTACTATAGGTAATAAGTATGTGGTACATATGTGTGTAACGTGCCTTTCATATTATGTGGAAATTATAGTTAAACACCTATCTTTCTCTCCATGCAACCGGAAACTTGCAACTATTAGGGATAAAACCGGACTTTAGTTGGGCTAATTGCCAGCAAATGAATTCAGCCAAAATCAGTGCTATATTCTTCATTTTCATTACTGTTTTGTATATTGAGAAAATTCTCCCTAGATTTATTTGGATTGGTTGTAAATTAAAATATTAAAGAATTATGATATTGATGTGTTGTGAAGGTTAGGTTTCATGGTTTTCATGTTGTTTCCTATAAAACAAATTTGATCTCATATTCAATGTCAAAATGGTTTTTTTTCTTAATATTAATTCTTGTATAGATTAAGCAAAGATTGTTTTATTTAATCTCATATACTGATTTTTGTAATTATCTATCTGAACTGAACGATTTTGAGATATTTTAAATCATCTATGTTACAGTGAAAAAAAAAACACACAGGTTAAATATTTAATCATATGTTTAAATAGAATCTTGGACAACAGAGTTTTCTTTTATCAAAAGGTTCTTTTTTAACCTTGCTATATTAAATATCTAAAAGACTTAAACAATATTCAAAACATCAAAAATACTTCAAATATCTATTAATCATCCATCCAAATATTCAAAACAAATCAATTTTATGTTAAATTAAAGTATTTTGGAATACATTCTTCAGTTTTTATATGTTAGATATTATTTTTTTATTTTTAGATTAAAGAAATTTAAAGTATATATAATTTTTTAAAAAATAATTTAAGCAGATTATCTGAACCAGAACCACAATCAAACCCGTAAATATCCTAACCGAATCCGAACCAATTTATAAATACCCGAATGAGACTGAAATCTTAAAGCTCAAAGATTTAAAATCTGAATGTACCTGAACCGAACCTGACCGGGTACCCAAACGCCTACTCCTAATAGGAATCATCAGATTATGATACTTACTAAAATCAATTGTGTTTAGGGAGTTATGGTTGTCCAGTTTGACTAATTCACAAATATTTTTTCAATAGTTTAGATGTCTCAATTGGTATATATTTCATATATATTATTTGAGAAGTGATTTTTTTCACATGTCCTTTCTACAATCATTTTTACAAAAATAATGTGACATGACTATTAAATTGATGACATGACTTATAATTTAATATAGGTAACAACCTGCGCATGAATTTATATATTAATAATTATTGAATACTAATTTTGATCGTTCAATCATCATGTTATAACTTTGACCGTCAATAAAAGGTTGATGAGTAGGGTAATGTTTGTTGATATTTTATATTTTTTTAAACATATTTACATTGGGCTTCTATAATATCATCCGGATGTTAAAAGTCACCATCTCACTTTGATATGAAAAATTGTATTTGTGAAATAACAATAATTTGAGAGCCGCGCTTCGCGGAATGAACATTAATTATGTATACAAATCATTTATACATATTATTATTTATTTTATGTTCATTTACGTAATATGCAGTAAAAATATATTAAATAATTGAGAAGCGAGAAACTATTACATATATAGTTAAACTGGAGTAAACATATAAATAAAAACCATCCCTCTTTGTATTTACGATATTGTTTTGTTGGTAAAAAATCAAAATAATTAGTTATTTATTTTATAAGATATATAATTAAACTTAAATGATATTAACAAAATTATATAATATATTTTAATATGAATAGCTATTAATTGAAGTTCGTACTCATATGATTTAATTAACATTTTTATATTTACTATAACAAATATTATTTTTATTTTATGAATATTTATTAGCGGATGCTTCCTACTCAAAGAAAATTTTGAAATTTACATGTTTATGTATATTATATATATATATATATATATATATATATATATATATATATATATATATATATATATATATATTTACTCTGAATATATATTAAAGAGATTTCATATTTATATGATTTTATGATCATTTGTATTATGTTATAACAAAAAGTTAAATCATTGATCACAAAAATTTTAATGTTGACTTTTAACAATTTTAGTAATTTATAATCGTTTAAAAAATTCAAAATATAGCAGACAAGAAAAAATCTAATTTTTATTATATTATTAATATGACTGTTTAATTTATTTTAAGAATTTAAAATTAAAAAAATGATGGAAGATATAAAATTGTTATCAAATCTTTATTTTTCAAAATCATTAATTGTCATATATTTGTTAATCATATTAGGCAATTTCTTAGTGTTTATTTAAGGAAATAATGGAGAATATTCTTTTATACACTACTTGCATAGTTAGTTTAATAAAAAATATAATATATTTTGAAATAGACCAACTTATTTTTCTAAAGATTGTAAAAATCAACGTAGTGATTACACGTGGTTACCAAAATAGGTTATAATGTTCCAGTATTAATATATGAGGATGACATGAACAATTACATTTAATGGTTATTTATATTTTTAGTAAACTTTTTAAATATTGTAATAACTCATATATTACCTTTAGTGTCTATTTATATTTTTGGAATTTTTTAGAATATGATAATTATTCATAAATCATCATTAATATATATATATATATATAATATATATGACATTATAAATATGGTAATAACTCATATATTACCATTTAGTGTCAACTTATATTTTTGATTTTTTTTTTAGAATATGGTAATAACTCATAAATTATCATTAAAATAAATATAATCCAATATGGCATTACAAATTTTGAAATATCATTCAATTATATATTTTTAAAATATACAATTTATTACTATAATTTTCAAAATGTATACATTTTTTTTTAGAAAGTTATAAAATTTTAATCGTAAAATCCTTAGTTTTTTTATATCTACGAGTTTTATAAATATTGTTTGATTTTAATATAATCATTAGTTTCTCAATAACGGCTCTGTGTCTAAATCATTTGAAATTTTGTCTTGGGTTCCATTAGATTGGTGCTTTGGTGAAGAACATATGAACATCAATGGTGATTTCATAAGAAAAAAATCTCAAGCGTATATTTCGAAGAGGAGAAGTTTTGGGCCTTGGTGATTCCATGTGATTTCTTCAATTTGGGTACGGATGGAGGTCTTCGTCGGCCGAAGCATCACGTCAGTGATGTATCTGTTCCGTAGTC